AATTCCAACATATATTATCTGAAGAAGACTGGAGTGTACAATGATTGAATGTTATGAATATGGCAATAAAGATGAGGACAATAGTCTGAAGAATGTAAATAGTGTAAATAGTTACAAGACCTTATCTCAAAAATATAGATAGATGCTAAAATTGAAAGAGTACACTTTCTGAGTGAACAAATGCTAATTCTAACTTCTAAATTTCAAATTTGAAATTCTTAACTGTAGTTTTAGCTGATTGTTTTTTCCTTTATATGTATTGTCTTTTTCTACAGGTTAATTCTGAGAAATATATAATTTTGTCAGCTTCTTTGTCAAGCTCTGAAGCAGAGACAGCATTAAAATCATGCTTTAACAAATTTCATCTGTCAGTGTGGCTTTGTCGCCTGCCAGAAGGCTGGGCTAGTATCAAGCTTATAAAAACACAAATATAATATGTCTTTCCCTTGCCTGATTTTCTCCACAATAGCCCCTGCTAGGATGCATAAGTGTAAAACAAAAGGCACCATCCAATGCTGACCCTCATTTATCGTTCACAAGAGGAAAGTCCACCATAATTTTGTCATTATTGCAGAGATTATAAATATGAAATTGAAATAACGTCAATATGGGATCTATGTTCAATAGATCTGGCCCTAGTGAGTGTTTCAATGTGAAACTGAATGGGGTAGAATGTTCTAGTTCCACGTGCCATGTTTAATGGATGTCAGTTATTGCCTGCTAATTTTCCCTCTGAAAGTTCTCCACTGCCTTAACCGGGTATTGAACTCACTAGATGATCTTGTCACTGGAACTAACCAACGCCTTTATCCACTGTGTCCTTGAGGACATCTGGATATGAATTTCTGGGTATTATAAATTATAAAATAATGTAAATAATTTACATAATACCTCATCTCAGAAATATAGACAAAGATAAGTCACCTGAACCTTTTCTTAATTTATTGAATATTATAGCTCTAGTTACCTATTGACTGCTTGTTGGCAGAAGTTCTGCTAACCTGAAGAAACACATAAAATTTAGGTAATTTTCACATATTATCTCAGTTTTATATTATTTTTATTATTATTGCACTAAAGATATTTACAAGAACCTTGAATATAACTCAATTTTCAGCCATAGAAGGTTTTTCACTTTTCTCACAGAAATCCCAAATTGGTCCCCTGTGGGGTATATACATCAGAATCACTACTTTCAAGCATCTTTCAGAAAATGATCCATATTTTGAAAGAAGCATGAAAGTGAAAAGTTCTGTAATGGTAGAACTAGATGATCTTCACCTCTGAAGACCTCAAGGAGTTAACAAATCAGATATTAAAGTCGAAGCTCTGCTACAACCAGTTTGAACAGCAACAGTCTTATCTAAAAGCCTCAAGGAAATAGCTTTAAAGTAGTATTTCATAAATGTTTCTTCTTGACTCCATGCCTGCCCCTCAGCATCTAAAAAATTAAATGCATCTATAGATTTTTTGAATTAATCATTTAAAGCCTTAATATGAATCCATTCTCAGCTACAGAAAGCTTTTACATCCTTCTCACAATAATTCCAATTGCCTTCCAAAAAAATTACTCACCACCCTGTGAACCTGTGTCCCAAAAATATTCAGAATCTTTGCTTTAGAAGACTTTCAGAAAATGATACAAATTTAGAACAATGCATAAAAGAGTCTTTGATGGTAGTGTTAAGTTGTTAGAGAGAAGAATTAGACATTTGAAAGAAGGCAAAACAGTCAACACTTGATGCCTTTTTTATTTTATGAAAGAGTAAAAAGCTGACAAAACCAGGAGTATTATATTTATTTTTCATTCATATTTTTTACTAATTATTTTATTGCATTAGATTCATAGAAAAAAAATGATTAATTTTTTTATTCATATTTTTTACTTGATGCATGAACTACATAAAGTGAGAATTATTTTATTGCATTAAATTGATAAAAAAAAATTTTTTTTCTCATATTTTTTTTACTTGATGTACAAACTAAGGAAAGTGTGAATTATTTCATTGCATTAAATTCATAGAAAAAATTAATATTTTTTATACATATTTTTAACTTGATGCACAAACTGTTTAAATTATTTTACTGCATTAAATTCATAAAAAAATTATTTTTTTACTCATATTTTTTACAGCAAATAAATGTGTAATTTTAATTGAATTAAATATTTAACACTTCTTTTTTTTGTATGCATGTCAACTTTCCATATCTTAAATTGAATGTATCTTTCCTCTATTAATTAAACAAAATTATCTGTTTAAAAACTGTTTTGCTTTCCTCTGCTAACAAAGCTTCTTCTATTGAAATAGAAAAGCAGAACTTAATAATTGAGGTTGCGCATATTTTCTTTCATTGTCACATAGGAAAATACAAATATACATTGATTCCTTTAATAATTGATTTGAAATATCTGAATAAAGTATGTAAGATGGAATACAGTGTAACCCGGATATAAGAGAGATTTTCTCTGGTCCCAAATTAGAGCCATACTTACCTAAACAAAATAGACCAAACCCGGATATAAGAGAAACCCGGATATAAGAGACTTCTTCTCTGGTCCCGACAACTCTCTTATATCTGGGTTACACTGTATGTGAAAACCATTTGGATGTGGAATTTTTTCTTAACTTGTTGACGTTCTTTCCCTTTTATGTGAGCATTATCTAAAAATAATTGAAAAAAAATCTAAGGAAAATTCATTACCATGGCAACTCTACTGAATAAAAACATAATTTGAAAAATTTCAACATTTATAAAATTATAAAACATATACATGAACAAATGAATGAGAATTACACATATTAAATATGTTAAAATAAAATGTAAATATGGTAAATAAAAATGAATGAAAAAAACATTATGGTAAGCAAAATAAAAATGTGTACAGCCAAAGAAAATAGATGAAACTTAAAATTAAAAATTGCTTTTATTTAATCATAATAAACCTTTCCTGCCTTTCATCAGCATGGCTGATGCTAACCTCCAAGAGAGCAACTCTTTGCACCTATTTGGGCATACTTTCTCCACTGACATGATGTGGAAGGATTCTATTGAATCAATTACCAGATCTGCTGTCAGGAAAGTTGGTTCACTGTGTTGTGCCAGAAAATTTTTTTTGGCATTTTTTTTATATGAAAATATATAGCTGGTATTTTTACTATAAAAATGTTCTTCAGTATCTGTCTATATTTCTGAGTGTGAGTTCAATACCTGGTTAAGGCAGTAGAGAACTTGGAGAGGAGAATTAACAGGAGATAACTGATAACTGACATCCATTAAACATGGCACATGGAACTAGAACAGTCTACCCCAGTGAGCGAAGTAAAAGGTTCAGTTCGATATTCCAACCACCTGAAGAAGGCCGAAGCGTACAACGGCTGAAACGTTGTAATAAATATGGTGACAAAATGAGGACAATAGTCCAAATAATGTAAATAGTGTAAAAAATGTTCTTTTATACTTTCATGGTGTTTTTGTTTGGGTGTTCACTATTTACTCATAGCTGGGACCCTAACAGGTGCTATCACCCTGGGAACAGCAGCAATCAAGAGGTGGTTCCACACTCCTTAAAACATCTAATTTCAAGATCAAAGGCCTTGCTGCTTGATGTAGTTTATTGTCATACCCAGGACTAGAAAGGCTGATTTGTGTTTGTCTATGGGTAAAAAAGAATTTAATATACCCCTGATTTTTACAGCTCTTTTATGTTGCCATGATCAGAAAATATCTTAACTAACATGAAAAGAGTGAAACATCATCATCATCATCATCATCATCACCCCCTTGACATTTGTAATTGTAGTAGTGCAGAAGCTATACTAAATTTCCTCCATACAGTCTATCAACGGCCATCAGTAATTCTGGTATAGTCATACTTGCCCAACCAGTCTCTCCTACATCCACCTTCAATGGTGCCTTGCATGATGGTCTTGCACAAGCTGTCGGGCCTTGTAATGTGTCCAAAACCATGCCATTTTTCTCCATTTGACAGTGGTGATAAGAGGTTCCTGGTTGCCCACAAAAGTTTCAACCTTTTTCCACACAAAGATCAACAAGTAAATAAAAAATAAAACAACAGTATTTACATTAGTCGGACTATTGTCCTCATCTTTTTCGCCATATTTGTCACAACGTTTCGGCCGTTGTATGCTCTGGCCTTCTTCAGGTGGTTGGAATTTCGAACTGAACCCTTTATTTCGATCACTGGGGTAGACTGTTCTAGTTCCATGTGCCATGTTTGATGGATGTCAGTTATTAGTTATCTCCTGCTAATTTTCCCTCTGAAAGTTCTCCACTGCCTTAACCAGGTATTGAACTCACCTTCTTTGGGTCCTGTCACTGGATCTAACCAACGCCTTTATCCACTGTGCCATGTGGACAAAATAAAACAAGTTTACAGCATTGAACTGGTTTTCACATATTCAATCTTACATATTTCTATATTAAATGTTTACATATTTAAATGTTTGCTACAACGATTGTCAGTCACTTAAATGCCACACATGATATAACTTGGACGATCATATATCTTTTGATACATGACTGACGAGACAGAAGATTTTTTCCACAGTAGGATGCCATTTTTTTCTGCGATAGACTGGTTGCAACCAAGGCTAAAGAACCCAGTCTGTTCTGCCCTTCATCCCACAGCTGGGGGGAGAACAGATGGATTCATACCTTTCCCAAGGTTATTTGTCTGTAAGTGAATAAACAAACTTGACTGGGATTCGAACTCGGCTCTCCAAGTTCTCATTCCAAGCCAATATCCATGATATCACAGTGCACATCCTGCTACTATAATTGCTTTTCAAAAAATACTGTTTGTGAAAAAGTTAGGCTTACATGAAAGAAGGAAAATATCATTGCTTTTTAAAATTAATTTTTAATTTCTAAAATATGCAAGTAAAATTTTCATTGTTTATTTTATCAACTAAATTTGATGGTTGTGTTTTATCTTTGCAGAGAGGATACTGGAAGACCATGACTCGTTGGTGGAAAACATGGTGATGTGGACAAGAGATTCCAAAAATAAGATTTTATTCGAAGAGCGTACAGAAAAAAACGACTTATTCAAAAATCCAGAAGTAAGTTTGCTTTGAATGGGTTGACTTGAATTTCTAATCAGTAAAAATGGTATGATGGATTAACTTGGATTTCCAAACAATAGAAATGGTATGCTTGATGGACTTGAATTTCTAAGCAGAAAAAATGATATGATAGATTGACTAGGATTTCTAAATAGTAAAAATGCTATCATAGATTGACTAAGATTTATCAAAGCAGAAGAAATGTTATGATTGCCTGATTGATTTCTAAACAACGAGTGTTATGTGGGATTGACAAGGATTTCTAGGTCGCAAAAATTGTACGATGTGCCTGCTCTGATTTTTCTAGAAGCAGAAATGTTATGATTGTTCTAAGCAATAGAAATGGTAAGATTGATTGACTATGATTTTGAAGCAGCAGAAATGCTATTGTTGACTGATTGTGATTATTATAAGCAGGTGAAATTGTGCAAAAGACTGATTTCTCTTAACATTCAAAATGGTACAATAGACCAATTTCTCACAATCAGATTTGGTATTATAAATTAATGGTTTCTCTAAGCAATAGAAATTGTATACCAAACAACAATAATAAATCAACAGAACAATCCAAAACATTTTTTGTTCCCCAACAAAAAAATATTTAAGTTTTTTTTGTTTTTTTTTAATAAAAATGAAAAAAATGGTATTCTCAAGCAGTCACCCATCTAGGTACTGAAAAGGCTCAACCTTGCTTAACTTCAGTGATTGTACAAGAACTGTTGTTTCAATATGATAGGCTGTAATACAAGAGAAGCAGCCAAGATTAAATAGGGTATCTTTCCTTATAGGAGATTATATATTAAGTAAGTAGGCATCCGTTTATCTTGCAAGATACTGGCATTCTATTTAGTCAAAATTCAGCCCTTTGGTGGTGAAACTCGAGTGACCTTCAAAAGGTGCAGGCCTGGGTGATAGTATATGGATGCTGTGCGATGTCCAGATTACATGACCCCACTCTCAGCTGTACCAACAAGATCTAAAGGAATACAGGGAATTACATTTGGAGATGGCTTGGTTGCAATAGTTGCTGGAAAGTTGTCTGTGTTGACAGCCAACTGCCTTTGGGGCTTCATTCTGGGTACTCTGTCTGGATTTATTTCCCTAACTTTTTCCATGTTTGGATATGACTGCAAGGCAGCAAAAGTTTTAAATCAGGGTTTCCCAATCTTGATATGGGCTGCCTTCCTGGGCTGTTCAGCTCCACCTCCCTGAAGCAGCTGGTTAGGAGGTTCCAGTTTTTCATCTTCACCCATTCTGAACTTTCCAAAGGCTATTTGGGACACATGCAACCAAAGCATTTTATAGACAGTGGGAAAATGTCCCCACTAACAACCTTTAAAGATCATATATTGAAGTGTGTATTTAAAAAAAAAAATGTCATAAAAATTCAGTTTGACTGTTGTAAATGATATCACCCATGTATTTCAGCAACAAAGGAATGCTGAAATCAGCCAAACACATTTTCATAAACAGACTAAACATGCAATTCTTGATAACAATTATAAAAAGTCGAAAGTACTTAGATTAAAAAAAAAAATTGAAATGTTTACCAATTTTAATTTTGACATAAAACAACTTAGTTGTAAAAGCTTAATAATAAATTGAACTGACAAACCTTCCTATGACTTAATCATATGAAGTGCCACAGCCAGAATTGACAATCAAAATTGCTTGAAATTGACCAGCATTAAAAACCAACATACTTGTATTTAATGTCAAATAATATGCTGGCTTGAAAAGTCATCATTGTTTCCACAGCAGAAAACTTCTATAGCAAGCTGTACCCAGAGATAACACACAACCTGGATGTTGTATTTGCCTATTTGTTGTCAAATTCAGATCTGGGAAGCTATTTCAGATCTAATGGAAGAGCTAAGTAACAGTTAATTCAAGAAAGTGGTCATTTTCAAAAGAATAGAACAGCAATCGTATATAATTTCTAAAAGTGATTATGAGACATATTCTCAGATAGATGCAATAGAGGCTCTTTTGTTATTCACCATTTTCCCACTACCAAAGTATTTTAATTGTCTTGGGCATGTCCCCATAACACATCTTACTGTTAACTTTTGGTTAAACTTCCTACCAAGTTTGGACTATGAGGTTTTGATTATGTTCTTGTTCCTTATATTTTTTAGTGCTGATATCTTGCTCTCCAAATTAGGAGGCATCTTTGCATTTAGTCATTATCAGATTGCTTCATTGGTACCTGTCACCATTGGTAGGCAGTTCCCATCTAGTAGAACACAGTTGCACCCATGCCCTGCTAAAATTTTAGCTGATAGTTCAAACTCAAAATATGTTAAAGGATTACTTTATGTTTGAGAGCTCATGAAAGTGCCAATCAAGGGTTAATTTAAGGTAATGGTCATGCTCAATATACCGGGTGTAACAGCTAAATTGTCCAAATCTTGTAACAGCATTATTGTCCATCCCAGAAAATGTTTAATATCTAAAAAAAATTCACTAAAGTAATTGAGTTTCTTTTTTCCAGGTTTTCAGATAAGCCGTTTACCCATCTTGATACCATTTGTCATTTTGACTATCAGGTTTTGATTATGTTCTTGATCCTTATTGATATTTTTAGTCCTAGTTGTATGACAATGTTTCTGATGTCTAACACTTCAAATAGGAAGCAACTTGGCATCTGATTTATCAGATTGCTTCATTGGTACATGTCATCATTGAGATCCAAGTAGGCAGTTCCCAGGAGCACCTAGTACACAGCTGCACCCACACCCTGCTAAAATTTTAGCTGAGGCTTCAAACTTGAAATATGTCCTAGAAATACTTGGTAGTGAAAGTTAAATAAACTTTGTAGACATATATATATATATATATATATATATATATATATATATATATATATGTGTGTGTGTGTATGATGTAATGGAATTAACCTGTCACCCCCATGAGTGACTACACTATAGGTAGTAACTACCTATAAGTATCTGTAAGTCAACAGACTACGGAGACTAGCTGGGATCTGTTGAGTACGACTTAGGCTTACGTGAGAACTACCGACCTTCCAATGGTAGCACTCACTACTGGATTGACTTTTGACGACCTTGTGCATAACTGTTACCTTTATTCTTATTATACTGATTTTTTACAATAAACTTATTACTTATTTTATCCACCTTGTTTTTCAAGTATATATTCCTATTAGTACAGAATATAACAATATATATATATATATATACATATATATATATTATTGATGTTTGGAAATAATGTTCATGAAAAAATGTACCAAAAATAATATCCGATAATGCATTTCATCTTCAACAGCTTCATCAGATGGATAACAAAAAATGTGTTGTGTGTGTGTATGCATTTGTGTGTGTTTAAAATAATTAGATCTTATATTATTTTTCCCAAGCTGGTATTGCTTGAAACTAAAGAGAAAGAAAATGAGTGACTTTTAAGAAAAAATGTTTGACATTTTTTATATTCTCCACTTTTATGTGTCTGAGTTTTGAATTTTTGGGACATATTTTCATGGACTTTTTCTAAATGTCAATAACTTATAGCACTGTCGGGATTACATGCCCAAATTTATTACATATATATATATATATATATATATATATATATATATATATATATATTTATGTAGATATATGTTTTTTTTTCAGAAGTATCTTTTGTTAGGAACCTCCTCTGAAAAAGGTGTCTCATTGGACCCAAATCAAAGAGAGAAATTACTTCAGGTAAGTAAAGAGAATATTTTTTACTTCAAAAAGAGCCGAGTTTGTCATTGAATATCATGTGGACAAGTTATGTGACATTCGTTTAATTTGACAACCAGTAAGAGAGAACCTTACTGTACTAGTCATTCTAGGTAGATTACTGTTAAAATTGTTATGGTGAATGAGATTTGGTTTGGTTTGGTTTATTTTGTTTAATGGCATATCAACCTCAATGGGTTATTTAATGCCGACATTTTTAGGATAGATTCGTATGAATAGAATACATATCCTTTGGTTTAGATTTGTTTGGTTTATTTTGTTTTACGGCATATCAACCTCAATGGATTATTTAATGCTGACAAAAATTTTTATTGCTGGTAATGTTTTGTTTTGTCAAAAATCTGTTTCTGGTAATATATTTCCTTCAAAATTGTATTGCTGGTAATAGTTAACTATTTGCCCATAGCTTGGACCCTAACAGGTGCTACCACCCTGTTCACAATGGACCTGGGAACACTAGCAATTAAGAGGTGGTCCCACCCTCCTCAAGACCTCCTGATCAGAGGCCTTGCTTACCCAGGACACAAATGTAGTTTAACGACGAGGTGAATGAGGTATGTGATATGAACAAAAGTGGAGGTGGAAGGAAGTGAAGATTATAAGGATGTGGGGGGGGGATATATAATGATTGATCATTGACTTGAAGAGGTTAAGATTGTAATATAGAGGGTTATTGTTTAAATGCTTAATGGGAAATGAGGTGTGTGATATGAATGAAAGAAAAAGTGGTAGGAAGTGATGATTAAGAGTATAAGAAGGATAGATAATGATTGACCCTTGTCTTAAAGGAGTTAAGATTGTAGTGTAGAGGGTTACTGCTAAAATGGTATGAATTAAGATTATGAGGATAAGAATAAATAACGGTTGGGCCTCAACTTGAAGAGGTTAATATTGTAGTGTTCAGAGAAGCATCCATGTGGGAGTCTGTTCTACAAAGTAGCAGTTCTTGAGGAAAAAGCTGTCTGAGTATAATTTTTTTACAAATGGAATACAGAGGAAATGAGGATAGTTTGACTCCGTGTAAGTGGCATGACTTTTCCAAGCTCTAAAGGTCTGAACTGGGGGAAACTAATGCATGAACAGACATTCTCCTGTAGGCTTACTTAGTTGGTGGTGAAACACTACTAAGTGAGATCATAGACTTAGTGACCATTATATTGACAATGCTGTCTTGCAAGTGTTACATCATCAGTCCCATGATGGGGGTGTGGTCGTAGGGTTGCTATGCAGTTGAACACCTAACCAGTTCTCCCCACATACCTAGGTTGAAAATTCATTCATGCATAGCATGTCTTCAGCAGGGAGACCTGACAAAGCCCATCCCTTTCAGTTTTAAACCACAGTCAATATCCTCCAAATTGAAGCCTCGCCTTGTTACAGATACGAAGCTGTTGATTCTGTCAATGGAACACTTTGTTCTGGCCATTGTCTTCAGTCTAGAAAGCCCTCTGTCCAGCAATATGATCACCACATTTATTTATTTTTTTCCTAGTTGTTCCATTGCACAGGTCTATCAGCACCCCCACCACCATCACCACTGCTTTCTCTAGATTAAAGAGCCAAAATTTGTACAAAGTTTCACCAATCCTATTTTCTGAGCATATAGCCATTTCACTCTTCTCTGTCTCCATATTTATTCATAGTTAGTAAAATAAAATTTTTTTCCATATCTTGCCATGAGAAAGTGCATTAAGAAGTAGTTGTTCCCTTTTACAGGAGCAATAGTGCTGAAATTTGAACTGGTTTTAATGATTTTATTATGTCACATCCATAACCCAGTAAAATGTATCATTTTTTTTTTCTAATTGAATTTTTGGGATGGAGGACATTTCATCTTGATTAATTGTTCAGTTATTTCTCATCGTGTTTCCACTAAGTATATCCATGCTACCCAACCCAAGGATTGAGCTCACAATTATTGTCGCCAAATTGTGAGTTCAATCCTTAAGCCTGATAGAACAGATATGATTAAACTTGGTGAAACCAGGGGTCATAATAACTGAATAATAAACCAGGATATTGACAGCAGCATGCGAAGAGACTACTCCCATAAATTGAATAAAGAATGTAGTTCAAAATTCCTTGATTATTCAGATCAACAGACACTTTGAGGAGGTCAAAGAGCACAACAGCTGAAATTTTGTGATAGTAATAACAAAAAATACTCTGAGTCCAAATGTAAATAATATTTGTTTTTATTGTATTTTGTTTTTGGAATGTTGTCTATTTATTTATTTATTATAATTTCAGGAATTCTTTAGTGGCTCTGGAGTAAAGGTGCCTGAAGTAGAAAGTGTATTGTACCTGAAATCGGACGGAAAGAAAGCTTGGAAGAAATTTTTCTTTGTTCTTCGTGCATCTGGTCTTTATTACAATCCAAAAGGAAAATTCAGCAAAGTAAGTTTTTATTAATTAATTCTGATTTAATTAAGAATTAATCAGTCTATATTTCTGAGATGAGGTATTATGTACACTATTTACATTATTCCGACCATTGTCCTCATCTTTGTCGCCATATTTATTACAACGTTTCGGCCTTTCAGTATCTGTCTATATTTCTGAGATGAAGTATTATGTACACTATTAGTCAGACTATTGTCCTCATCTTTGTCGCCATATTTGTCACAACGTTTCGGTCGTTGTACGCTCCGGCCTTCTTCAGGTGGTTGGAATTTCGAACTGAACCCTTTATTTCGATCACTGGAGTAGACTGTTCTAGTTCCACATGCCATATTTGATGGATGTCAGATATCAGTTATTTCCTGCTAATCCAGTGATCGAAATAAAGTGTTCAGTTCAAAATTCCAACCACCTGAAGAAGGCCGGAGTTTACAACGGCCGAAACGTTGTGACAAATATGGCGACAAAGATGAGGACAGTAGTCCGACTAATGTAAATACTGTAAGAATTAATCAGTTTTGATTAAATTTGAATTGTAAATAAGATTTAATTACTTTTGATTTAATTAAGATTTAATTACTTTTGATTTAATTAAGATTTAATTAATTTTGATTTAATTAAGATTTAATTAGTTTTGATTTAATTAAGGCTTAATCAGTTTTGATTAAATTTGGATTTTAAATAAGATTTAATTAGTTTTGATGAACTTAAGGATTAATCAGTTTTGATTAAATTTGGATTTTAAATAAGATTTAGTCAGTTTTGATTAACTTAATGATTAATCAGTTTTGATTAACTTAAGGATTAATCAGTTTTAATTAAATTTGGATTTAAATAAGATTTAATTAGTTTTGAATTAATTAAGGATTAATCAGTTTTGATTAAATTGGGATTTAAATAAGATTTAATTACTTTTGATTTAATTAAGGATTAATCAATTTTGATTAAATTGGTATTTAAATAAGATTTAATTACTATTGATTTAGTTAAGTATTAATCAGTTTTGATTAAATTTGAATTGTAAATAAGATTTAATTACTTTTGATTAAATTGGGATTCAAATAAGATTTAATTAGTTTTGATTTAATTAAGAATTAATCAGTTTTGATTAAATTGGGATTTAAATAAGATTTAATTATTTTTTATTTAATTAAGGAGTAATCAGTTTTAATTAAATTGGGATTTAAATAAGATTTAATTAGTTTTGATTTAATTAAGGATTAATCAGTTTTGATTAAATTTGAATTTTAAATAAGATTTAATTACTTTTGATTAACTTAAGGATTAATCAGTTTTAATTAAATTTGAATCTAAATAAGATTTAATTAGTTTTGATTTAAGTAAGGATTAATCAGTTTTGATTAAATTTGAATTGTAAATAAGATTTAATTACTTTTGATTAAATTGGGATTTAAATAAGATTTAATTAGTTTTGATTTAATTAAGGATTCATCGGTTTTGATTAAATTGGGATTTAAATAAGATTTAATTAGTTTTGATTAACTTAAGTATTAATCAGTTTTAATTAAATTTGAATTTAAATAAGATTTAATTAGTTTTGATTTAATTAAGGATTAATTCATTTTGATTAAATTTGGAGTTTGAATAAGATTTAATTAATTTTGATTTAATAAAGAATTAATCAGTTTTGATTAAATTTGAATTTGAAATAAGATTTAATTAGCTTTGACTAACTTAAGGATTAATGAATTTTGATTAATTAAGCTTGATTTAAGTAAGATTTAATTTCAATGACTTAAGTAAGATCTAATTTATTTTGATTAAGTTTTGATTTAATAAGTATGAATTTATTTGTGGAAATAAATTATAAATAAAATTGAAAAATATAAATAAAAATGTACATGGGACTCTTAATACTTTTTAATCTTATCTAAGTTTGGCACAAGGATTAATATATTAGTTTCACAAGATTGTATTGCACCATTCTTTTTTTCATGGGATAAATGTTATCTGCCTAGAAAATGAGCCTCTAAAATGTTGAAATCCATGTTTGGCACAAGGTTAAATATTTGTGGAGATGTTTTGCATCAAGTTGGAAAGTTTGCTTGTCATGAAAATCAGCATTTGAAATATTCAATTTTATCTTAGCTTGAACACAAACTTTAAATTAAAACCTGTAGTTCATATTTATTTTATTTCAGGCCAAAACTAAAATAAAATGAATAAATAACTGTTTTAATTTGGAAAAAAGGGCTCTCAATGATATGAGTCTAGGAATAGTTCTATGTCTTTTTAAAAAGTAAATACAACTTCATCGGGGAATTTTTTTTTTTTTTAGATGTGGATGTTTTTTTTTTCTTTTTTCATGCTATTGTAGTGAGCTTAAGCATACTAACAGTAGCAGCCCTATAATAAAATTCATATCAGCAGCAACTCCCAAATATAAAATCCCATGAACCCTAAAGTAACTCTATCTCTTCCAAGTTTTTCCTCTTTTGAACTGCTGTCATGAACTTTCCATGCTGAAGTTAAAAGGGCTGTGAATGCTTCACACATAAAATACACCAACAAAATAGGTCTCACTCAAGCATTGATAAGCATTTTGTTGTGTATACAATTTACATCTAACAAATGAAACTCTCATTTTAAACTTCCCTTTTGTTAATGCCTGTGATAAATGTTATCTTGCATTGTAAATCAATTGGTCTATTTTGTGCATGTACTCTCTTCACCACCATTATTTCATGTAGGAAACCTTATGCGTTTAATTATTGAAATAGCTAATCACTAAGCCATGTTCCTTCAGAATATAGCCAATCATGGCTCCCTTTTCTTTATTATCCGTGAATTGCCATGAAAAGAATAGTGAACTGGCTTCCCCATTGCATTCTCGACAGTTTAGAATTCAAAGATTTCTTTCTTGTTAGTTGCCACCCAAGATTAGAGAGCCAAGAAAGGTGAAATCTAAGAATCTGGACATAAATTTACTGTTGTGATCTAGTGATTAAAGCACTTTCTATACATTTTCATCTTAGTAAATTGCCTTCTTTTTTAATTAAAGTAACATTTTTAAAATCACTATAATGAGCAAGTAATGCATTGAGTTTATTGTTTTGTGAAAGATCTCTTTTGTGTCCATATATTATTTTACTTAAATTCCTTGAGGTTTCTCCTGTGTATTACTTGTGGCAATTACTGCTAGTAATAGAGTAAATTCCTCCTTCAAATTTTAGGTTATTATTTTGCTTTGTACAAATTAAGACTTTCATTGTTTTAAAAGTAGTTGTAACAAATTGGGAATTTCATATAGTGCTTGCAATCTTCAGGTTTAAAGCAAAAATTATATATTTATTATATACTTATAGCTCTGTTTTCTTTACATTGAGCACTGAAGAAATATTTATATGTATGTGTAAGTAGATTTTTCCTACCCATTCATAGATATATATATATATATATATATATATATATATATATATATATATATTGATGCATGTTTCATTAAATAATATAGATAAGTTTTGTCTATTTATTTTAAGTAAATTCCTTTCATATTGTCTGATAAGCTTAATAACATTATCATTGGACGATGAAAGAAAAACACCATATTGATACAGGTTTTTTAATCCTATCTGAGCTTTCGGCTTACATAAGCCATTATCAAAGATGACAATTACATTTCAATATATTAAACAATACATGGACAAAACAATAATGATAGACTGTTTTTGTTGCATAAAAGATTTCCAAGCAACGATAAACTTGTGTATATGAGACACGGAAGCGAAAATCACACCACAGCTCATGACGTCACACATGACCACGCGAGAGTGAAAACAAAAAGTATTAAGTATTGGAAGCCGTTGGTATAAACCAGTGGTTTTTGTTATCAATTATAGGCATTTAAGAATATTTGTGGAGATTTCATAGTTTATTTTGTTCAGGTTAGGTTTCAACAGTTTTATGTATAGATTTGTTCTTGTTTTTTACTTCTTGGTAATAAGAGGACAACGAAAATATAGATGTAATCTGAAAAAATGCTATGAGAAATGTGTTATTGTTTTATATGAATGATTCATGTAATTATAAATTAAACTGCACCTGTAATCAAAATTAAAATAACTGATCCAACATGCAACTTTTGGATAATAAGTGTGACATTCCTGTAATTATTGAACAATATAGTTCATGCCACATTGACGGAAAACCTACCAGTACAAAAGAATTCTCTTATTACTATATTTGTACAAAAACGCACAACCTTAAAATTTAAAATTCAAACTCAGCGTTGCGACTGCATGTTCCAAAACAATGACCATTCAGCCTTAATGGTGGTCCCATATAGGATACAGGTTCAATTCCTGTCATAGCACACCAGGCTTAATGGAGGTTTCGTATAGGATTCGATTCTTGTTGGTGGATGCATATTTTCTACAAAATTTCTTGAACATTTAAGCCAGTAAATGTAATTAAAACTGTTTAATTAAAAGAACCGAGTATTTACTCAAATAAATGTATCCACAAAAAAATAATGTATAAATATATATATATATATATATATATATATTGAAGATAATGAGATAAAGTTTCACCAAAAGAACATCTGCTGCATTTGGCTTCCTCAAGTTAGAATGAAAGACAAAAGTGTATGTAAGGAAAAATGTGTTGGGATCTCTGAGGATAAGTGGAGACCATAAATCAAATTACCTTATTGCATCCGATGGCCAGAAAGTATTTTTTACATGCCTGTTTGTTTGTTTATTCTTTTTATATATATATATATATATATATAGATAGATAGAGAGAACCATTGGGCCTCGTATTTTAAAACAGCCCACCAAAATCAGTGTTTTTTTTTTTTGTCTTGTTTTTTATATGTATATATTTTTATATTTTTATATACATGAACACATATACACGAAACAAAAACAAAATTTTTAGAAAATGGTAATGAATTTGCTTTTATATCATTTCAGGCCTCCAAGGATTTAACGTGTCTCGTGCAATTTGATTATGTAGATGTTTATCACGGTATTGGATGGAAGAAAAAATACCACGCCCCAACTGATTATTGTTTTGCCCTAAAAGTAAGGACATTCTACCTTTTTCACTTTGGCAATGCTTAAATAAAATAGTCCACTCGTAAAAAATAGGGAAAATCTTTTCTTGGAAAAATTTTTGTAGATTAGCATTTATCAGACTTTCCCCAAGCCACATTTGTTAGAATAAAAAAATTAAATTTTTTTTGTTAATTATCATTTTAGAAAGACATCCTGTTTGTAATATTAAAGCAGTGTAAAATTTTTCCCTAACATTTTAGAGTTGTTGGTCTAGCTGTTATTTACAAATGTCAAGTTTGAAATTGTGCTTACATCATTAATGCATTTTTTATTTTTTAATTTTCTAAATTTTTTGCATTTTTTTTAAGTTTTAACCCTTTGAAGAAGGAGCCTCATTTGGAGTTTCAATGCTAAGAAAAAGGGTCCTTTTCACAAGCCCTCACATGGAACACAAAAAAATTAATATAAAATCACAGAATATAGCAAACTATCATAGAAACTGCTATTGAAAGGCCCAGATGTGTAAGAAATGCGAGACACAATCTGATTGCCTGGTATGAAGACCAGCCAGCTAATCTTGTGGCTTGTATTATCAGGCCAATGGATCGACCCAGTCAGCTTCTTCATCATTCAACTTTTTGGCTGTAAAAGAGAATGAGAAGACTTTAGAAGGGACTGAAAACCCAATCCTAAGCAGGAAACCCCTAATCCTGTTCAAAAGACCGTGAACTGGGCAATAGGTGAACCTATCTACTTCATGTACAACTTTAAATTTTGCTATATCAGCTTATTTTAATATAATTTTGTTTTCTTCATGATAAGCTGGTCTGGTTCATAACAGTGAATGTCATTTGTCAAAAAACTGGCTTTGCCAAAAATATCAAATCAAATCCTCACTTTATCGTTTGGTTCATTTCACTGAAAAATCCATACATAGAAAATTAAAGGGAGATAACTTTTATCTTTTGTCAATTTCAAATCCTTTCAATTTATACCTAGCTTTTCCAAATAACGACCAGCATTCATATTTATTGATTGTTATTACAATATTTTGTTATTAAAGTTGTTAAGATCAAATATTTAATGATGCAATAAGGGAATTTCTATGGATATGTTATTGTCATAGAACTTGCCATGAGTTTACCCAATCATTAACTTAAGAATTAAGTTTCATCAGAATATTAAAATAAGAAAATTATTGAATTTTTACAGGTTAAAACTAGTAAATATTAAAATAAACAGAGTGATATGAATTAAATACAGAAGACTTTTTAAATATTTAATTTATTTATGCATGTATTTTGGAAATGACAAATATTTTAATGGATTTTCTTTTTTTTTTTTTAATCATCTTTAAATATTTCTAAAATAGAACCAAAATATTAAGCAATATTATTGCATGAATGAAGACTTCAGGGATAAATTTATGGAGAAAATTATCATGAATAAACAAAACTTTTAAATGATACCTAATTTAAAAATAAAGAAAATTTTTAAATAATACCTAAGTTAAAAAATAAAGAATAAAATTTTTAAACGTTACCTAATTCAAAAAATAATCAACAAAATTTTTAAATGTTACCTAATTCAAAAAATAATCAACAACGTTTTTAAATGTTACCTAATTTAAAACATGATCAACAACATTTTTAAATGTTACCTAATTTAAATAATAATCAACAACATTTTTAAATGTTACCTAATTTAAAAAATCTACAAAATTTTTAAATGTTACCTAGTTAGTACATTTGTTAGTAAGTTAATATGTGTCTAAATTCAAGATGTGGGATAAGTAAATACTAAATACTTACTAAGAGCATAAAACTAATGTCTATGTACAGAGTGAGCTCAAAAGTCTTGTGGGTCAACTGGAATTTCTCCTTGCAACTATTAAGTGCCAGAAGATGGCATCGTTTAGCCACATCACATTGTAAAACAGACTCTGCTTGACCATCATACAAGTCATTGTTGAAGGCAATGCAAGCTATGGCAGCAGTGTAAAAGCTGGTCAGACAACATCAAAGATTGGACAGACATGACAATGTTGGAACTCTTGAGAGCCAATACTAAGAGATCATCATGGAGGAGTTTGTCTGTTTTTTCTGCTCTTATATTCCCTCAATGATTGACATATATGAAGGATATGATAATAATGTAACACTTGAAGTAACTCAGTGTGTGAATTAGTGCTAATAAATTTAGTATAGGAGATAAGGAAATTGGAAATGAAATAGGCTATGCTAGGGATAGTTTCACCCAACACCGCAAATTGCTACAAAACCAAAACATTAACCTAAAAATTCAGGTCATGTTCTTAAATAGCTTCATTCGATCGAGACTTTCATATGGATGCCATGAATGGTGCCAAATCCTTTCAGAAATATCTAAACTGTTAGCTGGATGCAATCGCTTTCTCAGATCAATGGTGAAAAAAGGCTTTGAGCGGTGGGTGAAGCCTGAGGGTCCTGGCAAAGATCATCCATCTTTAAACATCATGGACTGATGCTACAGTTTCACAAACAAAGAACTGTATCAAATAACAGAAACCACATCAACTGAAGACTACCAACAGCAGCAACAACTAAAATGGATAGCACATCTAAGGCGAAGAGAAAATAATGATATAATCAAGATGTTGATATTCCACACCACTTAATATAAAACATTAGGAAAAAAATCCTCCCCAGTTCTGGAAAGAGCGATAAAAGATAATAAGACAACTGTTCTAAATGGTTACACTGAATCCTAATGGCAATGGTAACATTAGCCGTTTCCTTATAAGGAAACAGACGGCATTCATTGACCGAGCAGTCAGTACTGCTATCGGTTGAAATTTATAAAATCTTTCTCTTAAAACAATGTTTCAGGAAAACAGGTTTCTCAAGCCCAGTATCTGTTATCGCCTCATCAAATCGAGACTTTCATATGGATGCCATGAATGGCGCCAAATCCTTTCAGAAATATCTAAACTGTTAGCTGGATGCAATTGCTTTCTCAGATCAATGGTGAAAAAAGGCTTTGAGGCGGTGGGTGAAGCCTGAGGGTCCTGGCAAAGATCATCCATCTTTGAACATTGTGGACTGATGTTACAGTTTCACAAAGAACTGTACCAAGTAACAGAAACTACAGTTGTGTATTATCAACAGTAGCAACAACTAAAATGGATAGTACATGTAACTTGAAGAGAAAATAAGGAGATAATCACGATGTTGACATTCAACACCACTTCAGATAAAAGGCTAGGAAGGAAACACTTGAAGCACTTAAAATAACTCAGTGTGTGAATCAGTCCTAATAAATTTAGTATAAGAAATAAGGATATTGGAAGTGAAATAGGCTGTGTTAGGGATAGTTTCACCCAACTACAAATTGTTACAAAGCCAAAAAGTTGAAAAGTTCAAGTCATGTTCTTAAATAGCCTTGTCAGATCGAGATATTCATATGGATATCATGTATGGCATCAAACCTGTTCAGAAATATCTAAACTGTTAGCTGTATACAAGATCAATGGTTAAAAATTGTTTGAGCAAGTGAAGCATGTGTGCCTTGGTAAAGGCCATCCTTCTTTGAAACTTGTGGACTGGTGCTACAGAATCACAAAAAACTGTACCAAATAACAGAAACTACCTTACCTTATAGCTCAAAATTCAAGTCATGTTCTTAAATAGCCTTGTCAGATCGAGATATTCATATGGATATCATGTATGGCATCAAACCTGTTCAGAAATATCTAAACTGTTAGCTGTATACAAGATCAATGGTTAAAAATTGTTTGAGCAAGTGAAGCATGTGTGCCTTGGTAAAGGCCATCCTTCTTTGAAACTTGTGGACTGGTGCTACAGAATCACAAAAAACTGTACCAAATAATAGAAACTACCTTACCTTATAGCTCAAAATTCAAGTCATGTTCTTAAATAGCCTTGTCAGATCGAGATATTCATATGGATATCATGTATGGCATCAAACCTGTTCAGAAATATCCTGTTAGCTGTATACAAGAAATGGTTAAAATTGTTTGAAACAAGTGAAGCATGTGTGCCATCCTCTTTGAAACTTGTGGACTGGCGCTACAGAATCACAAAAAAATTGTACCAAATAACAAAACTACAATGGTTAAAAAATTCAAGTTTGTTCTTAAATAGCCTTGTCAGATCGAGATATTCATATGGATATCATGTATGGCATCAAACCTGTTCAGAAATCTAAACTGTTAGGTATACAAGATCAATGGTTAAAATTGTTTGACAAGAAGCATGTCCATCCTTCTTTGAAACTTGTGGACTGGCGCTACAGAATCACAAAAAACTGTACCAAATAACAGAAACTACCTTACCTTATAGCTACCAACAACTAAAATTGATATCACATGTAACTTAAGGAGAAAATAATGACATAATCAAGATATTCATATCCCACACTAGTTCAAATAAAAGGTTAGGAAAGGCTAAATTCCTGCTAGCATATTATGTTTTTTTAATCATCCCATGCAAGGGGTTATGCTTTAATCTGTGTAAATGAAAGAAAATGAGAAAACTTTAGAAGGAATCAAAAACCCAATACTAAGCTAGAAATGAGGGATAAACTTCTGCTCCTGTTCAAAAGACAGGGAAGGTGTGTGAACTGGACAGTTTATTAATATGTAATCAATTTGATTTATATTCAAAGATTAATATGGTCAACTTACAGCCACATCACATTGAAACACCAGTTCCTGTATGATCACCGATAATATTTAATAGCCCCCTCCCTCCAACAATGGATGTATGTGGCACAAGGCTGATTTTACTGTAGGTTCTCTGAGCCCGTTGGCTTGGACAAAACTTTTCCCTTCGGCAAAGCCTCGTTCGGGTTCCTCTATGCTCAAGGCAGAGAGATCAACAGTTGAACAGTTTAGATCACTGATTAAGCAACGTTGAGCCTGGTCAGTACCTAGATGGGCGACCACTTGGGAATACCAGCTGCTGTAAGCTTGGATGTGCAGGTGGTGTAATGGATAATGGCTTGGAATTGTTAATCAGAGAGCCAAGTTCCAATTTGTTTTGTTATTGATGTAATGGAATAACCAGTCACCCCCATGAATGATTACATTATAGGTAGTAAGTACCTATAAAGTCAACTGTCCATTTGAGACTTGAGGAAGAGTGAGAGAGAGAAAGACAACAAAGTTCTTATCCGACCTTCCAATTAGTGGCACTCACTACTAGATTGACTTGTGTGTATAACTGTACCGTATTTCATATTGTACTGGTTGTGTACAATAAACCTTTCTTCTATTATCCACCTGGTGTTAAGTATTTATTCCCCTAGCAAAGAAAATAAGTTATATTCACTTATGTACAAATACCCTTGAAAAAGGTATGAATCCACCTCTTCTCCCCCAGCTATGGGTTAATTAGTAAGACATATCACTAAAGCTATTATTATCTAAAACATATATATATAAATAAATAAAATTGTGTACAAAATATTTAGTTTTCAGCATTAAATAACCTGTAGAGGTGTTTATATACTGTTAAACAACCAAACCAAAATGGTCACATATATGTAAATAAATACTTAATATTGATTTAACATTGAATTTTTCTTATTTTTCAGCATCCTCAAATTCAAAAGAAAACCTCCAAATATATCCGGTACCTCTGTGCCGAAAACAAATCAACTATTGACCTATGGATTATGGGAATACGCATTGCTAAAGTACGTATTTTCTTTCTTTGTTTCAAAGAAAAACATTTTTATTCATAAATTTATAAACATTTACTCAATATGTAAACCAGTCCTTATTTACTATTTTATAAAGTTTGAATCAATTAGCAATTAGTTGATGTATTGCCAGCCATTACAATAAACTATATTTTCTTTTTTGTAATCTATTTCACTCCATGCAAGGCAGTAAAGCCACTAAGACACAAGGGGTTAATGAGTGTGGAAGAATTAGAAACCGAAACATTACTAATGAGTGGGACCAGAAAGAGTAATTAGGAGGACAGTAGATAGCGATTGACATTGCATTTAAATTTTTAAGATTAAAGTTGGCTGAAAAGCATGAAGCTGGAAGGGAGTTCTACAATTGAGAAGTGCAAGAAAAGAAACTGTTAGTCTGGAATTTACAGTTACATCTAACCAGCTTAAACTGTAAATTGTTAAGATCTTGATGCCAGTCTAGTACTGTGCTTAAATTCATAAAGTCTAGGTACATATTGAAGAGCTCATCTGAACAATTACCATGAAAGTATTTATAGAAAAGACACTGTGAGGCAACCTTAGGGTGGTGCGAAAGTGACTAAATCCAAGCCAAAATAAATAGTGTAAACTAAACATTCTAATCGTGTTTATTATTTTTGTTGTCAATTCACAAGAACAAAGAAAATGTATAAATTCACTTTCACATGTTTAGATTTTTATTAAAATTCTAATCATCACTTTTTAAAACAAACATTACTGAGGAGTGAAGGTAGTTAAAATAATATGAGTGTCAAGGGAAAAAACTGTCCTTTTGATGTACTGTCTTTTTGAAGGGTATGAAGGTTAAAGAATTCTGGTGATTCTTTTATTAGCTCCAGAAACATTGCATACAGCAGGGAAATAACATTATGAAACCACCTCTTCTCCCCCCAACTATGAGTTAATTAGTATAACGTATCTGTAAAACTAATTAGTATCTTGAAAATATTCTTACAATCTAAAAATATTTCCTGGCCTTAAATAACCTGCAAAGGGTTGATAAGCTGTAGAAAATGAATCAAACAATGAAATACTGATTAGCTACATAGGCATGCCTTTTAGATTTATTTACATTCTCTGGGATAGAAATGTATAGAAACTACATTGGACACAAAGTGAGGGATCATTTTATATATTGATTTTAATATAGAATTGGTCCCCCACTTTATATCCACATTATAATTTCATGTTTGTTGATAAGCCGTAGAAAACGAATCAATCAATCAATGAAATACTGATTAGCTACACAGGCATGTCTTTTAGATTTATTTACATTCTCCAGAATATGAATGTATAGAAACTACTATCGCCACAAAGTGAGGAATCAGTTTATATACTCATTGTAGTATAGAATTGATCCCCCACTTTATATCCACATTATAATTTCTTGTTTGTTTATCAAATTTTGATGAGGTATGAATCTGCCTCTTCTCCCCTTAGCTGTGGGTTAATTAGTAAGACTTGTATCAATAAACCATTATTATCTCAAAAAAAATAACTAACCTTCAATGACTCTATAAAAGACATTTTTCCTTTGATAATACACTTCTGTATTTTTATGATTTTTTTTATAATATAAATAGTAAATCTTTTAAAATTAAGAGAAATTTTTCTTTTTATGTTGACATGAGAAAAATATTCGTGATTTGCTTGTAATTTTTGTTTTAAATGAAATGTCTAATTCTTCTTTATTATTTGTTTTTCTTTTCTTTTGTCATCTATTTTAGTATGGTAAGCAGCTTTTAACAAACTATGAACGACTTCTGAATGATATTTCAACTTGGGATTCTCGCAACAACACTATTACAAACCATAGCAGTGGTCATTACGAACGATTACCATTAAAGACTGCCAACCTTCAAGATAGCCGGATGTCTATTCCCCCTGAACTGAGTTCGCGCCTATCTCTTGTTACCATGAAAAACGCCACCCTGTCCCGTAACCGTACACTAAGCAGTACTACAGACTGTGATAACCCTGATGACATGGTGATCGAGGTGACCTCAATGCAACCACGAAAATCCTCCATATCAGGTCCCATCATTATCGATTCTCCACAGAAGGCTCCTGTGAAACGAGTTTCCTTCAGCAACACTCACTGTATCATTAATGCAGATGCTGGGGAAGAACTTGTTCCCATGAAACACCGGGATTCTATCACAAGTGCTTCCACCGACTCAAGCGAAGAGTCTAACTCAAGTGGGGAAAACAAGACTGTTAGTGGAACGTCATTACGGGGCAAGATGAAGCCGAAATTGCCCGTGACCACTGGAACCACGAGGCAAATTTCAGAGATGGTACAGATGGCCATGGAAGACCGTGCTCAGGTATTGTATGAAAGTATAATGGAAGAAAAGAAGCCGACGTCGCCTTACGGCCATCTGGAAAAACCAATGGAAAGACGCAAGTCTGCTCCAGCCATCCACGACGAAAAAAGAGAGGTACATAAGCACGAGCGGAAACCATCGGAAGGCAATTGCAACAGCAACAATAAACCAGATCCTCGTATGTTGTCTCATTATTCAAGTATGGCACAGGCTGCAACCTCTAATCAACAGAGTCCTCCACAAAAGCCAGTTGGGCAGGTCCCTCCACTGGTCGGGAAGCACGTTGGGCAGGTCCCGCCTTCTCCCCCATTTCAAAGAGAAGAAATTTACATGAAGAAAATGAACGGCCCACCTCTGACCCCACCCCCTGTTGCTACAAAGCCAGTTCAAGGCCCACCTTCAGTGCCCCCTCCCACACCCCCAATCCAGCACCAGAAGCTCAATCAGCTTAATTCTCATGGCACCCACTCAGCTCAGAGTCCTGCTGGTCAGACCTCTGTTGCTGCAGGTCGGAAGATGTTAGTACGTGCAGATTCTGAATCCGCTGCTAGTACAATGGGACGGGCACCGCTGTGCATTTCAGCACCAATGTCGCAGAATATGCCGGTCTCTTCTTCAGAAAGTGTTACCAGCACTCTTGGACGGGGTCCAGTGTCTATTTCTGGGCCCATTTCTTCTTCATCTGATTACGGGACTCTCCCTGGTCGTACACCAATTCATATTTCAGGTCCTGTCTCATCTTCTGATTACGCAACTCTCCCCCAAAAGAAAGAACCAGTCTGTGTGCCAGTTCCAACTGCACCTGCTTCTGATTACGCACCAAGTTCTATTGTGCGTGGTTCTGCACCGAATACGTCTCCTGTGCCTCCTCCGATGCCAGGAATACCGACTGAATCAGCTTCTGCAAATGCGATCTCTGGTCGCCCACCGGTCAGCACCACAAATCCTCAGGCCTCTGCATTGCCTGCATACCCCTCATCCGCAACGACAGCATCTACAACAAAGATGCCTCTTACTCCCCCTCAACCAAGCACCCCAACCCAAAGTCCTTCAATGCCCCCAATGCCCCCTCAGATGCCCTTGTTGCACATTGCACCAATGGGACCACCTCCTGTAGCGCCTCCACCCCCACCACAGCCTACTGTGAAAATGGGGCCACCCCCTCCCCCTCCTGCTGTGAAACCTAACAAGATTCCACAGCCTCCTCCTGGTAACTCACCAGTACCTCCCCCGATGCCTAGTTGTGCACCACCAATGCCAGGTCAGGTGCCTGTACGTCCACCACCCATCAGCTTGTTGGCTCACACAAAGAAAACGGCACTGTCTGATACAAACGGCACACCGCTGTCCATTAATGTGAACAACAAAGACCCCCCTTTGAAAACTGAGGCGCTCTCCCCCAATTCCCAATCGTCGTTGCCTTTCTTAGAAGAGCTATCCAAGAGGTCGTTAAAACCAAAGCCTCAAGTGGGGCCTCCTACTGCTGCCAAACCAAGTCAGGCACTCCGTGAACATGCTATCCGATCTGTGGAGCAGGCAGCCAAGGCTCAAGCCCAGGCCCAAATCAATAATTCTCAGTATCAACAATCACGACAGGGTCTTGCCAAAGCCCTGGCTCTGGAGACCCAACACGGTAACCGAGCACCAGCCAACTGTGCTGCCACACATCCTACACATCAGCGTACTCACTCAGATGGCAAAAAGCCACCACCCCCACCTCCCAAGCGAAGCGAGAGTACCAAACTTTCAACAGACAATGTAAAAGCACTAAGGACAGTTAATGCCGCCAGTGGCAAGCCAGAAGCTTTGAACGATAACGGTAACCACGAATCAGTCATGACCATTGAGGAACTGCCTCCTCCCCCTCCAGATTTCCTTGAGGGCCTTGCAAATCCGGGTGATGGCTCGAGTCTTAAGAAAGGCCGACCACCTCCACCACCGCCAAAACGTAGTAAAGACACACAGCTTACTCATCACTGATAAAGATGCTTTCTCTGGTTGATAATTAATAAGTGATTAATGATTTGACCTAATTAAATTTTGAGTGAATTGGTAAGGACTGCAAATTGGGCTGTGTGCCCTCTGTCTACTGTGTTATGGGTGTTCTTACACACGAGCAAGTTTTATTCACTTTCTTTTTCCTGGCTGATATCTGTAATTATGTGATAGATTTTATCACATTTCCACTGTTTATGTTTTGGAGAGCTGAGTTCCAATTCCAGTTAGGTTCGTTATATTCACTTACGAGCAAAATACCCTTGGGAAAGGTATGAATCCACTTCTCCCCCCAGCTATGGGTTAATTAGTAAAACTGTATCACAAAATCATTATTATCTCCTCCCCACCCACCAAAAAAAAAAAATTCTTACTCTAAAAATATTTTCTGGCTTTAAATAACCTGTAATGGGTTGATAAGCCGTAGAAAATGAATCAGTCAATCAATCAATCACTGTTTATTTTTTATTACGTCTGAAGCTGATATGATTTAATTCATTTCTGTCTCCTCCTGTCTGAATGGTTTATCAGACGTATTCGAACTCGTTAACTCTGCTCATTAACTACGGCGCTATAAGAAGTGTTGTTGGGAGGGTTCCAGGCCTCTACCTTTCTGCCGTAACAGAAGACTAAATGTGTCCCCTTCATTTCAATCTATGTCAATGCTATTAAGCTGAGCTGTATCATTTGTCTAAAACCATTACTGCCATTAATTTTCAAAATAAATTTTAAAAAATATTCTTTCTTCTTTTTAAAGATAAAAAATTAGCTTCTTGTGGAAAAAGTCACTCATTCCAAAAAATATGTGTGTATTTAAAATCAAAACAAAAGAAGTTTACCATAGGATAATATATAATATATATATATATATATATATATATATATATATATATATATATTTATATATATAATCGGGATTTTTAAAACTTAACATCTGAATTACCTCCCCATACTGTTATACTGGAACACACCTATTCTATCGTTAATAGACTCTCCCACCTATAACGAGTAGTAGTAATAATAACGGAGTCGCTCAGGAAGTTGGTCAGTCAGTCGATGCCGGACGACCGTTAGTCGGATATTAAAGTATCAGCCACCACAACTACATTGCTATGTCATTAACTATTATATCGAGTTCCTAACGTTTTGTACGTCAAACCTATTTAGGACCGACTTAGTGAAATACAAGCCTCCACTGTGAAACTACTCTATAAGACATACACACTTTTAATATCTGATTTAGCCTCCCAACTTTTCATTTTGTAGTGCCGTACCTACTTACAAGTGACATGACTCCTTTAAGCCTAATTAAAAAGGAAGAAAAAGAATTACAAGCTAAAAATTTCGAGAAATTTCTCCAGAAATTAAATCTGCTTAAAAATTCACTCATAAAACTTAAACAGTATTTTTGAGCAGTCTTTATTAACTTGTCCATTAACTTAACATTCAACAGCTTCTAATTGTAAGCACATTTTGCATGTTAGAATTTTGGCAATAATAATAATAATGATGATAATGATTTTAACCTTTATTTTTATATATATATATATATATATATATATATATATATATATATATATATATATATTTGTTTTTCTCATAGGTGCTTGCTGCCAAAGACACACGTACACACATTTGTGTTATAGTTCACTCATATAATAATATGTGGACATGTGCAGATATTGAAGAAAAAAATTGGAAAAAATTACAAACACTCAAACTTATTTTTGTACATGGTTGGATTTTTAGTTTGTTTTTCTTGTAATTTTTTTTTTTTTTATTGACAATTTTTAATTATTTGTCTTCTGTCAAATTGGGTGTCATCAAATATGAATGCTCTGTTTATTAGGAATTGACCCACTGAAGATTCAACTATCTCGACATTTAGCACATTTTATGGCCAGGTTGTAAAGAAGGGGTTGAGGCTAGTAGCTATCTTGGTCATGATTCGGTTGGTGCACCACCGCTACGGACAAAGTGAACAACTGTTAAATTCTAACTTCAATCAAACTTTTTTTTTTGTTTTTATTGTTTGTGTTTTTGCAATTTCTATTTCTGAAAAAAAAGAAGAAAAAAAAACTCTAAACAACTTGCTGCTGCTGCTGCTGTTCCGTTTCTTGAACCAACTTTTTGTACCTCTTTTTGATGATTCTGAACAGTTTTTGGCAAATTAAGAGGACACTACTTGAAAAAACATCACCACCTATATATATATATATATATATATATATATATATATATATATATATATATATATATATATGCACACACATCTCTCTCAATACACATTTAATGTGTACATGTAATATATACATATGACTGGTGTTTGAATTTGTGTTACAGGAACAATGGAGGATTTGAGCCAATCAAAAAGAAATACTTCCTAGCTTCAATGCATTTTATTTTTGTTTTTTTTTTCTTTGGAATGTTCAAAAGGAAAAAAACTGTGACTTTAAAAAGAAGAAGAAAATGTCAACTTCCTTTTGAGAATGAAAAAAAATGAAAAGAAATGAAAGAAACGAAAGAAAAAACACTCCCTGCTTAAATATTCATGTTACAGAGAAGAATGAACAAAAATTTTTTTTTTTCATTTTATTTTTTTTTTAATTTATGCAAAAGCAATGTTGGTGTTTAAATCAGCAAATAAGTTTACAGTTATAAATGCCAAATACATAAAACGGCTTTTATAAGAATCAGAGTTCTTGCAAGAATCAAATGACATTGTGCTATAAAGATGGATGACAACAGTAATGATAAATTATTTAATTTTTTTAAAATATTGATAGACTCAAGACATTAGATTATAATGCTAAAATAATAACAATTAACTTTCATATACAACAACAATTACTGTAATAATATTTGTAATATTAAATAAATTATGGTCATAGTACTTTGTGTGAAATATATATATATTGGTTATGCAGTTTTATTACTGACTCTAATGGCGCTTATTAAATGGTTGTGACTTGACTAATTTTAATAGAAGAATCAATTTACTTCGTAATGGCTGTAATAAGTCATTTCTCTAGTGAAATTTCTAAAATTAAAATACTAACTGTACTCATGATGATGACTATTTGTTGTGAGATTCATAAATTTTAAAAAATATTTAAACACAATTGATTTTAAAGAACACATATGACAATTCATGAAACCTTTGATTTGGGGGAAAATCTTATTTTAAGAATTTCTCCATCTACACACACACACACACATATATATATATATATATATATATATATATATATATATATCATATATTTGTAAAAGAATATGAATAAGGAAAAAAGGAAAACTTATCTTTGCAGACGTGTTTGTCCTCTGTGGGGCTTTATCTAGGCAAGTATCTTGAAAATTCCCACAGAGGACTATTATATATATATATATATATATACACACACACACACACACACACACACACAGACCAAGAACAAAAAATTTTCTTGTGGTGCATTTCATCCTTCAGGACTTCACCTGATTAAATTTTAGTCTAAAGATGACTTAAAGCCAAAATACATCACAAGAGAACTTTTTACACTTTTTCATACATTTTCCCCTATATATATATATATATATATATATATATATATATATATATATAAGGGTGATGCAAAAAGAGATAATGTTTAAAAAATGACATCATAATTAGTGAAATTATAAAATTTATGCTACTTTAGGTTATTTTTTGCAAGCATCACAAAAATATTTTATGTAACTGAATTTAATTAAGAGTTACGTCCCTTAGTTTAATCTTGTGCATAAACTTTCTTTTCAACAAAACTAATGCATGATTAACGTTTTTCATTTCTCACTAATTTAACCAATAATATTTTGATTAAAGAGTGAATAAGATGACATTATGGAATAAAATAACCAGGAAAAAGAAATGAAGTCAGACTCAAACGAAATCAGTTGGGTTCTAATAAATTTTATGATTTTTTTTTAATCAGCCTATCTTGAAGCAAAGAGAAAGTGGAAATGTCATTGCGATGCATGTTGAGAAACGCAATAATTTTGATATTTATTTTTTGTTAGTTTTAGTAAGTCTTATATCCAATCTGAATTTATTGGTGCTGGCAGCATTTCCTTTTCCTTGGCAAAAAATTGTAGGAGTAAAGAAATTAATTTAAAGTTAAAAGCAGACATTTCACAGTTCAGATGAATTAGTGCCGTTACACTTAGAAGAAAAAATTGTTTTATTTGTCAGTAATCATTTTATATTCTTTCTTCTCTGTAAGGAAGGATTAAGCTTCCGAATTTATACCTGCATAATTGTAAACCAACTCATTTTTTTGTGTTTAGTGATTTCATTTCTTTGTTTCCTTTTATTATTCTGACTTTTTCTTTTATGCAATATTCTTGCAAGAAAAATCATTTATTTGCAAGAAATTATTTTTTATTCTATATAAGATAGTCTTAAAAATTTGTTTGTCAATGTTTCAGAAGAAATGAGACAAATATTGCATTACAAGTTCAAAATGACCTCCATTTGAATGTATTTTTTTCTTCTTTTTTTTTTTTTTTAACTTCTGTTTTGAATCCAATTATTGTCGGCTTTTAAAGTGTAAGGTATTTTTGCTTCCAAAAACAGATCAGGGATTCTTAGCCTTTTTCTTAAATTTGGAATCTTGGATTCTTTAAGGAGATTGAGTAAAATTTATATAATTCTCTTCCCAAGAAAAATGAATGGAAACTCCAAATTTTGTATGGAAAGATTTATTGCTTTCTTTTTTCTTTCTTAACTCTTCCAGAAAACTAATATATCTTATGAAATGGACTAAGTCCGACAATTATTTTGATATATTTTCTGTTTATACATTATTTTTATACATAAAAATATTTAAGTAATTGCTCTGTTTAGAATAAACAGTATTAACATCATTTACCAGCCTGAATATCCAAGAAATTTCATGGAAAATATGTCCTCCAATAGGAGTCAAACCTGTATCCTATGCGGAACTGTCATATAGTCTGATATGCTATACTATTTAGCTACAGGGGAAGTGTCTGGTTAACAAGGTTAAATTACTGTTTTTAAACAGCAAATTTCCCATGATTTCTGTCAAATGTTCATATCTGCTAAAGCGTATTTTAATGTAAACAAATTACATCATATATCATCGATACTGTGTAGGATACAGTTTCAGTTCCTGTCAGAGGACACCTATTTTCTATGAAATTTCTTTGACATTCAGACTGGTAAATGTAAATAATAATGTTTATTACAAGCAGAGCATTTACTTAAATATTTGTATCTATAAAAATAACATATAAACAGAATATATATATATATATATATATATATATATATATATATATATATATATATAATAAAGACAAAAGATAAACTTATCTTAGCTGATAAAATGCCTCAACTAAGTTTTTCGTTTGTCTTTTTTATTCATATTGTATCTGTAGTCATATCTTAAATTTTAAACACACACACATATATATATATATATATATATATATATATAAATTTTTTGTTAGGGGGGCAAATGTATGGCCAAGAAATATAAAAGGAAATGTTTTTGGTAACTGAAATAGTTATGTATTTGATAACACTTCCACCAAGCTGTGTTTCCATCCTTGTTAAAAACACAATTTTAAATACTGATTTTCAAAGATCATGGGCCTTCCCTATTGGAAAATTGGCAGAAAACGTGTGTGTCCACTAAGAAGTGGGAAAACTGGTCATTTTTATTTCCTGGCCACATTGGATTAGGTCTTCTGATTGAGCCAACAAAATTTCATTGTTGGAACTTAATTGAATCAGGGGACTACTGGGTTACTATGAATAGTTTACAATTTAAGTTGAGTCATAGATTAAGCACTTTTTAAACCTGCTGATATATGGTGTGAACATTGTGGATAAAATGTATCTGATGTCTGAATCATTTAGTGGGTCATACTTGCTAACACTGTAAAGTGCAGCATTTGAAGAATGTTAACACAGTTGCCAATAAACCCTCTTCAAACTTTCCTCAGCACCCGGCAAAAGCAACAGTGGGTACCCATGTCATATCCATTTTCTGCCTTGTGCAAAACCAAACAAAGCTTTGTAAATATCTCCGAGGAAATGTTATGTTCTTTTTCTTTTATGGCCATATCACATTGAATCACCAGTTCCCGTACAATCACCAGTTAAGCAATGTCAAGCCTGGTCAGTACTTAGATGGGTGACTTCTTGGGAATACAATGTGCTGTAAGTTTGGATGTGCAGGTGGTGTAATGGATAATGGCTTAGAATTGGAAATCAAAGAGCTGAGTTCCAATTCCAGTCAGATTTTTTTATATTCACATATGCAAATACACTTGGCAGAAAGTATGAAACCACCTTTTCTCCCCCTAGCTATGGGTTAATTAGTAGGACTTGTATTAATAAATCATTATTACCCCCACAAAACATTTTATTTTTTACAATCTAAGAATATTTTCTGGCTTTAAATAACCTGCAAGAGGTTGAAAAGCTGTAAAAAAAACTAAAAAGTAACTGATCAATCCTTTTTTATGCAAAGGAAAACTTGATCGTTTTAATCTTTGGCCATTTTTCTGATACAGATGTTTTTGCTTACAAGACCTGTAATTTAAAAGTAGTCGCCAAAGTTTATAGATTACTTAACTTGGGTTGCAAATTGGAAATTAGTGTGTAGAATGGATTACAGCCGTGAATACAAAAAGCTCATCCTAATGGATTGAGGTATTTTTTGATATACCTGTGTAGTGATTGCCTAATTTAAATAGATGAAGAGTGCACACTATAAATAGACTCTCCTAGACAAGACCAATGGGAAATTTTCCATATTCACTTTGTGTGATTATTTACTTGGGTATCGGCCACTATTATATACTACTTAACAACAGATTGTTTCATAAATAGTGGGTTAAGAATCTCTGAACTGTCTGAACGTAAAAAAAACTTTTGGTTGTTTTAAAAGTGCTTTCTATCATTTATGAAACTTTTTTTTTTATTATTTTTATAATCAGTAAGTATTTTTTCTTACAAGCAGCATCTACAAGCCTAATTTGAAATTTGAAAATATATTGAATATTTATTATGAAGTAATTTATTACTTATCTACGGTTTTTCTAAGTTTTTGGCTAATCTTTGAGAAGTATTCAAAATGTTGTCTTTTTAACTGTTTTTTTTAAGTTTATTCGTATTCTAATGTCGTTAGCAAATGTTTTTAAATATTTATGAAATTACTGCAAGAAACTGGTTTAAAATAAAGTCTCTACTGATGAATTAGTCTATTGGGATACCAAGCAAAATTTGAGCGGGCCAGTGAGTTTATAGGTTGGTGCTGCTTGGTACCTTATAGGTAGGCTGATTGGTCTTAGTCATTTCAGTACTATGTTTTTCCTGAGGAGCTTACAGTGCCCAGAAAGCTGTATGAACTCACTGTGTCTCAAAGAATCATAACCTCCATTAATTTGCTGATTTTAGATATTTGGCTGGACCATTTTTAATCTCCCAATTCATGCCTATTGAGGCATTATTTGTCATGTTTTTTGATTGAAAAAAAAAATGTTGTTTAAGATTTAAGTGAAGAAAAAATTGTTTATTCCAGATGTTAATAAATCTGAAAGATGTTTTCTATAAGCAAGAAATAGAAAAAAAAAATTTTTTTTGAAAAGCAGTAGTTTGTATAAAATATACTTTGGATTCACTTCATTTTGCAATCGTATCTAATCATTTTCTGATGATACAAGAATAGCCACATGATTAATTCTTAACTGACCCCCCGCCAAAAAAATATATGGGGTGGGGTGTACTTTCTTCCTCACCAGTTGTCAATATTTACTCACTCTCTCTCTCTGCTCATCATTTGTTTAGCAGTTTTCTTTTTTCTTATTTTCTATTTTTCAAATATTGTCTTTGCTGTGTCCATCCTATCATATCCCATGGTTCAATCGAATTTGGCAAATCCTCTTTCTGAAAGACAGATGAAAGCAAGATATTAAAATGATTTAACATAGAACCAGCATCTAACATTTTGACCCCTGCTCTTGCAGCCACCACATTTTTTTTTTCTTTTTAATTTTATCATAAGACCTAATTTGAAACCTGTCTTCAGAAAGAAATAAACTTCTTCTATTTTGCTGCCTATAGACCTTTCCTGATGTGTAGACTGTAGACATTTGTAGATAAATATGTAGTATTATGTATCCAGAAGAATTTTATTCTCATTCTACTATAAATGTTTTAACTTATGTTCAACAAAATGACTGTTTAGTTTATATTTGTGCTCTGCTGGTTATAAATAAGGCAAAAAAAAAACCCTGCCAATTCTCCTTGCCAGGAAAATATAGCTAGGAATTTTGTTCACTGTAAACTGATTAAATTCTAAATATTTCTTTAAGAGAGAAAAAATAGGTGTCATATTGATTCAAGATGAAGATTCTATATCACACACACAAAAAAATGTCAACATTAATTTAAATACACACAATTGTGGTTAAAATTTTGTAGCTGAGCATTTGATTAATCATTGTTTGGTTTGAAGATCCTTTCCTAGTGCTGGGTTGGTGAGACTCTATTATAAGTTCAAACCACAGAGAAGAAAAATCTGTCTAAATGCAAATATTGATCTTGTCAAATCTCTTGAAGATATGGCATTGAACAAATTGTGACTCTCATGCCATTAAAGCTTTAATTTGTTGCTCAGTGGTTTGTAGAGCACAAGGTATAAGGCCACCAGATTTGACAATCTTTGGTGCTGAGTTGATATACTGGCTACAAACTTTTAGTTGTGGGTAAATTAAAACTATTTCTGCTTAACACTCGGTAAAAATTTGCATTCTCTATTTTTTTTTTTTTTTTTTTTTTTTTGCCAAGTACCTTCAAGACATTGTTGATCATAGAACTCCACAGATTCCTTTATTATCTAAATTGCCATGTCTTTTTAAGAAAGAGTAATTTCCTGCTGCTTTCTCCACTGTTTTGAATTCAGAATATTCCTTCTCCTGCACTGGTTGTTATCCAAGACTAGAAAACCCAGTTTATCCTTCTATTTAACCCATAGCTGGGAGGGAGAAGAGATTGCTTCATGCCTTTCTCAAGGGCATTAGTGCGAAAGTGAACATAGCAGACTAGACCAAAATTTGAAGTTGGTTCACTAACCCCACTTTTCACATCAATAAATGTACCCTAACATCACTATATATATATATATATATATATATATATATATATATATTTTCTGTTTATATGTTATTTTTATAGATACAAATATTTAAGCAAATGCTCTGTTTATAATAAACAGTATTAATGACATTTACTGGCCTGAATGCCCAAGAAATTTCATAGAAAATGTGTCCTCCGACAGGAATTGAACCTGTATCCTACACGGAACTGTCATATAGCCTGACATGTTATACCATTTAGCTACAGAGGAAGTGTCTGATTAGCAGGGTCAAATTACTTTTTTTAAACAACAAATTTCCTATGATTTTTCTCAAAAAATCATATCTGCTTGAAGCGTATCTTAATTTAAACAAATGACATCATATATTATGAAATGGATGAAGTTTGACAATTACTTCAGTATATTTTCTAATGATATGTTATTTTTATAGATAGAAATATTTAAAGAAATTTGTTGATTATAAACAGTAATTTGACCTTGCTAACTAGACAATTCCTCTGCATGTCCGGTTATATGACAGTTCCATGTAGGATACTGGTTTGATTCCTGTCACAAGACATATTTTCTATGAAATTTCTTGGACATTCAGCCTGGTAAATAATGTCAATACTGTTTATTATGAAAAGAGCATTTACTTAAATATTTTTTATGTATAAAATGATGTATAAACAGAAAATATATTAAAAGTAATTTTCATACTTAGTCCATTTCATAATAAATAAATATATATATATATATATATATATATATATATATATATATATATATATATATATATATTTGTGTATTTAGGCAGCAAATTCTCTTTTAGGCAAGTCTGATTGAATAAATTACAGACATTGTGTCTGCTAATTTTTAACAAAATCTGTTCATACTCACAAATAACCTTCTGTGTATTGATGTTGAAGGATGAGAGAAATGTGCTATGTGAAATTCTCTTTTGGACAAAATAAGTAATAACTTATTTAATATATTCTCATAAAATAACTCATATCTAATTTATAATAGTGATATATTTTAATAAACTGAATGTTGAGTTGTTTGGTTTATAGTGATTCAATTAAAGTTTTAATAAAACCAGTGTATTAAAATATTCTTTCATTACTGGAAATTAAACATGACTTATTAGATATATTAAATAAATTTTAAAATGTTACTTATTTTTATTAAAAATATTAGCACTTTTAAATTTGGTTGTTAAAAAATCAAAACAAATAAGAGTCACAGAGAAAATAAGTAATGTAATAACTTAAAAATGTAATAACTTAATATAACTTAATAATGTAATAACTTAATATATTCTCACAAAATAACTCATATTTAATATATAATAAACAATATTTTAATACAGCAAATCTTGAGAAGTTTAATATTTTAATAAACTAGTTAATTAAAATATTATTTTGTTACTATATATCAGTGGTTCTCAACCACTTTTTACCGATGGACCACTTTTACTCTTAATTCTTTTTGGTGGACCCCCATAAACATTCGATGTAAAAAAAAGCTTATTTTATTTTTTACTATTAGATAAGTTTAGGAATTGTATTATAGAAATAGTAAATGTATATGCTTTCTTTATATATAATCTTTATACAATTTATATATTAAATTAATTTTATTATTAATATTTTATTTTTTCTAATATTTTATATTGATTAATATTTTATTTTATTAATATTTAAAATTATATTATTTATTATTAATATATTAAATTCATTTATATAATAAATTATAATATTTATATAATTTTCCTTTATATATATATATAAATATATATGTATATATATATATATATAATCCTTCTTTTATATATCCTCCTTTGTTTTTATTCAACTTTTACAATTAAAACATCCGGTAGAGTAAAATGGACACTAACTTACATTGCTTGATTATGTTTTCTGCTAGTTTTAGAGGGTTTTTTTTTTTTTTTTTAATTTTAGTATTTTAATATGTCATAGATTACTGTAGAAATTCTAAATTTCAACTGTGACAACGGCTCCAAAGTGAAATTGCTCTATGGACCACTAAAATATTATAGTGAACCCCCAATCTTCTATATTTTTTGTGTGAACCCCCAGTAATGTTACATTGTCCCCTTGGGTCCATATAGACCCTGGTTGAGAACAACTGCTATATATCATGACTTATTTTTTAAGATACTTTAAAATATTGTTTATTTTATTAAAAATATTACCTATTTTAAAACTTATTTTCTATGATATTTTTCTCTTCACAAAATGAAGTTATGCCTTTTTATTTTTTTTCCCAATACTTATAAAGCAAATCTTACCACTATTTCCATGATAATTTTTTGCCTGCAACTGTTAAAAATATTTTTAAATATCCAGTTTGTAATCATGTAGATTCTCTTTTGGACAAATAACTTACTTTGAGAAATGTTCAGATTAAAATTTACTTATCTCCAAGTCCAATTGACAATTTTGAATCATTAATCCGATTCAGTTAAACTCAGTAACATCCATAATTTGTGTAAGTTATAAACAAAATTAGGGACTTGACAAAAAAAAAAGGTTAAATTAAGTGTGGTTTTTATCACAAGTCTTAGGTGTTTGATGTGAAATGTACAAACTTTTGGAAATTTATTGATAAGATGTTGTTTCTATTTTTTTTTTTTTTTTTACAGTAATGAAAAATGTGTGACTTTGAAAAATGTTAGGTGTTATTACAGGTGATATTAGACAATTATGTGTTATTACAGGTGACACTAGACAATCATGGGGAATTTAATGCTAGTTTCTTTGTAACTGAAATTCTAACTTACTTGCTAAAGAATGAAGTATAAAAAAAACAAACAAACTTGGTTCCCAAGATTTTGTCTTCTGGTAACATTAAAAAAAGCTTCTTAATACATAAATTTAATCAATACTCTATCATTGTTATACTGGAATGTACCTATTCTATGGTAAATAGACTCTCCCACAGATAAGTAGTGGTAGTAGCAGTCGCCAGTGGAGCTCAGTGGAGTTGAGTGAGTCAGTCGATGTCGGACATTAAAGTATGAACCACCACAACTAGATTACTGCGTCATTAACTATTATTTCAAGTTCCTTCCGTTTTTTACGTCGGACCCTTTTAGGAACGACTTAGTGAAATACAAGCCTCCACTGTGAAAATACTCTACAACACAATCATATGATCTATAATATTTAATCTTTAAGGAAGAACATTTTTCCTTTGTTCCATCTTGACTTTTTCTTCTTCAAAGATACAACTGCTGCCCTCAACATGTTTCTGCTTCTCTGAGGAGTAGTGCCAATAATTTCCCTCCTTCCTTCTTCAGATGTAGACCATTTTGGTAATTTGGTTCTTTGAATCTGGCTAGACTCTTACTTTTGCAATACATTGCTTTCAAAAACAACTACAAAAAATACAGTAAAAGACAGTGGCAGCTGTGTTAATAAAAAAATTTTCATCCAAAATTTGTCTACACACATCATAATTGTGTCTGCTACATTCAAACTAGTTCTGGTTTTTTCTCCTGAAGCTTAGTTCAGATGCCTAAAAACACCCCAAACTTGTTTTTTTTGTTGTATTTGTTGTAAAAAGAAAAGGAAAAATTTTAAATATCATTGTAGTTTCTGTAACACATGCAGTGTATATTCTTTGTAAGTAGATTGTGGAAAGTTTTATATCTAATATATATATATATATATATATATATATATATATATATATATATATATATATATATATAAGCAGATACATTATTAACAGAAGACATCTAAAATATATGTATATCCATAATGTAATGTGTATGTCTGTGCACACACACACATATATATATATATATAAGAGAAATTTATGACAAAGTGGAAAAAAGTTTTTGTGTGATGCATTTTGTTCTTTAGGACTTCATCGGACTAAAGTAATGTTTACATTGATGCAATTACATATGTGTACGAAGGAGAGGGCTTGCCGAGAATTTTAAATTTAACTTTTTTTTTTTAAAATATGTGTTTTAGTTATATTGACTACAGAAAACTACACAGCCTAGCAAGGTTCATTTACCCTTTTAAGGAATGCAGATTTTCTTCTAAGCCTATATCTGCTTGAAAATCCATTTGTTCTAACTTTATTTTTCTATCTGAAATGTAAACAAAATGATTTTTAAATAATGGGTTTTGTTTTTAATCCAACATTGTCATATATATATATATATATATATATATATATATATATGTTTCAGATGAACAAAACAATTTTTTATCTTAGAAAAAAACAAGACCTTGATGATGACATTGTGCTAATGGCAAAAGTACTCAGAATAAAATGAATATGCATCAACATGGTAATCTTCTTTCTTCTTTTAATAAGGATACTAAATGTCTTGTCCGTAATTATGAGAAGATCCTATCAAAATAATTAAACAAAACTTATCTAAATTATTTAATGAGACATGTATTTTACATATACATACACACATATATATATATATATATATATATATATATATATATATATATATATATATATATATATATATGATTCATTACTGCTCTGAAATCTTTTATCATGAGCGATGTGGATTGTTTCCATGAGTAACTCTGGTATCAATCACATGACTGGCCACCTCTTCCACAAGGGCAATGGGAAAACATTCAAATATCCAAAGAGGATTGGATGAATTATTACTGATATTGCCTGACTACTGGTGTAGCTCAGAATGTTCTAAAAAGACAGCAAATATATAAAAAAAAAAACATAAAATGGAAGGAAAGGAATTCTAGATATAGACTATAGCCTACCATTCTATCCTGAGTGATTTGAAGACTGAAGCTTTAATTCCTAAGTTTGTTGATAGATCAATGAGTAATATTGATAAATAACCAAGAAGATTATGATGATTGACACCAGCGATTAAGAAATCGGTCTCCATTCCACTTTTTCCTATTCTCCAAAGCTTCCCAAGCTACTATGCTATAAAATAACAGGAAAGCCTGACTGAGAAAAAGGTACCCACTAACATAATGATGATTCAAAGATCAACATAGCCCTGTATTGCATTGCGAATTCTTTAGTGAGACTGATAAATCTATATATTTCATTTATGATAGCAGCATGTCTGTTAGCTCCTGAGTACCTTTGAAAATCAAGCATGTACTCTGCCTGGTGTCTCATAGCATATAAGACCGCTTGGTGAGGTTTCTTTAATCAAATTGTTCCAATAGGATGGGATAACTGGCTCCATGGCCAACCTCTGTACTCTGAAGAAGGGTTTGTTTTTTGTTGGGGTTTTCCTTCCCTTTGACAGCCACATATTAATAATTTCAATCTACCCAGGTTTTAGGTATTCAGTTCACTTTTCTAAACTGCTTGCCAACCAAAGCAGAGTCCAGTTTACCCTACTATTTAACTCATAACTAGGTGAGCAGAGAAAATATGGATTCATACATTTCCCAAAGGTATTTGCGCTAAAGTGAATCTAACTTGATTGGAATCAATTTCTTGATCTGAGTTGCTATCCATTGCACCAACTGCACATCTACATGGACACTGGTATTAACTTGCAATTTAACAGGCGGTACTGAAAAAGACAGTTATTGAGGATTGGCCCTCCTCCAAGACTTATATAAAAGTGGACAGTCGAGTTAACATCTAGAGGCGACAGTCTGCTTCATGATAAATGCAATCATCAAGCCATGTGTCTGATGATTGTATTTAGCATGAAATGGGCTGTCACCTCTGGGTGTTGTCTTCAATGTTCACTTTTATATTTACATATGCTCTATCTCTGCTATTGAGCACTTTAATCCATAACTATAGTATAACTTAAAACTATATTTGATCATATATATATATATATATATATATATATATATATAGATAATATTAGTGATCAGTATGGATATTTCCAAATGGATATAAATCCAAGGAGAGCTCTATATCAGAGACAGAGCAATAATTATATATATATGCACACACAAAACAATAATGGATTCTTTTGCAGTTTTTAATGCATGAGAGTTAAAGATGTATAATTTTCACACCATCTGCTGTTTATGTTTATACCTGCTGTGTGGTTTGAATCCTACAAAGCTCTTTCAAGATAACCTGCTTTTGTCATAAGTTATTTCAATTTGTCTTGGCTCATTGGTTGCATGACCTTCCCTCAGTTCACTTAAATGTTCTAACCGAAATTTCACATGATGATAGATACCAGCATTTTTAGTTTGGGACAATCTCTTCCAAGTATTTTGGTAGCTCTCCGACCGAACTTAGATTAATCTTTAAGTTTATCTTAGTATCTCAGAAAGAGTCTTCCGACATTACTTTGACCATCGAGAAGCTGACTATATCTTAGAATTTTCAGAAATCTACGATCAGGCATTCTTATTACACAACCTGGCTATCTAAGCTGAGAACTCATCAAAATGGCTTCTATGCATTGCTTCCCACACTTAGCAAGCTTATAGCCATATCACATTAAAACACCGGTTCTTGTGCAATTACAGAAGTTAAGCAAAGTTGAGCCTGGTCAGTATCTAGATGGGTAACCACTTGGGAAGACTAGGTGCTGTAAGCTTGGATGAGCGGATATTCACTGCATAACAGCTCGGAATTGGAATTCAGAGAGTCGAGTTCTAATTCTGGTTAGGTTCATTATATTCACTTATGCACCTCTTCTTGAGTTAATTCATAGAACTTGTATCATTAAATCATTATTATCTCCCCAAAAATTCTTACAATCTAAAATTATTTTCTAGCTTTAAATAAGTTGTAACAGGTTGAAAGCCATAAAAAGATTAATCAATCGTAATGGTAATATTAGCTGTTTCTCTCCAAAGGAGCATTCATTGACTAATCAGCCAGTATTGTTTTTGGTTGAAATTTGAAAAATCTTTCTCTTCAAACAGTTTTTTAGGAAAATAGCTTTCTCAAGTCCAGTAGCTTTTATTAATCTTTCCAGTATTGATGGGGGTTTCCTTCCTAAACTTTTATTTGAAGTGGTGTGGAATGTCAACATCTTGATTATGTCATTATTTTCTTCTTTTTTTTTTACAGTAAGGTTAACCCTGTAAAAGGCTTGGAGGTTACATTAAGAGGCAATTTGTGCAGATAGGTGGTGAAAACAACAGTTTACTCTAGACTTGAACAGGTTAGGATTGTAATGATCGGGGTATTGGTTCCACAGAGCAGTGGTTTATGGGATGAAGCTGTTCAAGCTGAACTTGACTTCTTACCAATAGAATACAAAGGGAATGTGGATGGTTGGCTACCATGGCATGTTCTTGCCGTCAAGGTTTGAACTTGTGGAACCAGGTAATGTAGTTCGTCTGAGCACTTTCTGTGGAATTAGCGATTCAACAGTGAGAGGCTGCCTGTCTCTTCAAGTTAGAATTAAACCCACACTTAGTAAAGAATTTCACACTAGAAAATAAATACAGACACAAAAAAGGTAGTCAAACTCAGCACAATTCAATAACAGTATTGCAAAAACAGTGTGTGTTTCAAGTGGCTGGGTTCAGATGTTATCTCTCGTGTACACACTCGTGAAACTGGGACTGTACAATATCAAGCAATGGCTATAGCTCGATCTGAGAAAGAACCACCATCATATTCATTCACACAAACACAATTACAGTGTTACATATGTATATACATATATAATACATACATACATACATATATATATATATATATATATATATATATATATATATATATATATATATATATATATAATAAAAGGTAAAATAAATTCTGTGGGTGTATAATCTAAGTGGGTTCTAGTAATATATAAAAATATTAAAAATTGATCCACAAAAAGAGAACTTGATGTACTTTATTTTTACATAGCAATATGATGAATAATCAAGAAAAAATTCTTTTTGCCTCATGTGGAGAATAGGCTATTTTGGCAGATGATAAAAACAGTCGTCTGTCTTTTCAACCCCGATATGGAATGGAATTCACATCGATAGAATTAGAGGAAGCAGGAAGTAAAAGTTAACTGTAAGGAAATTTTAGGTTGACCATTCCCATATGGGAAGGGGTCAACCTAAAATTTAACATGCCAACTATACCTAATACAGAGTTCAAATTTTTTGATCTATAAGTCAGGCAATGGTACATGTTGGGGTTGAAAAGGCGGAGGACCACTTTTATCATATGCCGAAATAGCCTATTCCCTACATGAGGTAAAAAGAAATATTTTTAATTATTCATCATATATATATATATATATATATATATATATATATATGTATGTATATATGTATGTATGTTTAAGGTGGGCTGATGATTGCGCCTAGCATGAAACAGACTGTTGCCTCTCAGTGTTGACTTCTATGTTCACTTTTCTATTTACACATGCTCTATCTCTGATATTGACCACTTTATCCCATAAATATAGCACACCTTAAGACTATATTTCTTCATATATATATATATATATATATATATATAAGTATTTCTATCAATGTAGTGGTTTCCTTTCAATAATACTTTAAGACACAATAACCATGAGCTTATTTTTTCTTTCTTGTTTAGTGCCAAAGAATAAGAACTAAATTGGTGTTTCGTTCCCTATTTATTTCACTTACAAAATATAAGTTGACTTATATGCCATATTCTGTTGTGTCTCTCATCCCTGGCCCATGTTTCTTTCCATCCTGACCCCATGGGGTTTTTACGTCCACTGTATCCCACCATAACAATTTTATGCCTCTTATTCCATTTATGTTTCCATTCATAAGCCATTCTTGCCTGATAATCTCTTGGAGACATCTTTTTCTTTTTTTCATAATTGCTTTTTTGTAGTTCCTTTCATCTTTGCTGTATTTATATCAATGTATTTATTGTTCTTTTTAAACCAAAATTTCTTCTTTGGTCTTTCTGCAAGATTCCTTTACTGTTTCTTGGTCTTTAATAATCATTGCTGCAGGTACAGGTTAAGTGGTAAAAGATCTGATTGAAGGTTAAAGGTTACTGAATTGTTTTTATAGTATTTCTCTCTCTCTCTCTCTCTCTCACTCTTTTAGTCTTTAGGATTCTGGGAAGTCTCTTCAAAAGAATTTCTTTAATTTTCTTGCTTCCAGACTTCAGTAATGTAGAATGGCTTTTTTAAGTTAGAAATTATGGCTTAACTGCCATTTACCAAGCTCTAGGTCCTGGCAGTAGACAACAACCTTAATAAAACAGTTGACTAAATGGAATAAGCATAATTGACATATATAGTGATGTAATCTTGTCACAATATTATGACAAGTCCACCTCAGGCCTCATTAAGCAGTTGAGTCAACATAATTAAAATATTGTTACTATTTCATCTGCCATTGTCATTAGGTTGAATATTAATTGGTTATTGATGCTTGTTCTAACACAATCATAGATGAGAGTTTGTTTTTGTTTGTTTTACTAAATGTTCATTTAATACAAGACCTAAGAGTCACTCAAGGTAGAGGTTTATTACATGAGGTGGTTGTATGTACTGAGAAGGTGGAAGTTTAGATTGTGAGGATATGTATGATAGGTAACAGTTGACTCTAGTCTTGAAGAGGTTATGATTGTAGAATTCATTTTGATATTTTATTTATCTGTTCCTAATATTTATCTCTCATTTTTATCGATTCAACTGTTTTATTCAAGTCGTCATCTTTCTACAGGACCATGTCCTTGGTAAATGGTAGTCCAGCTGAAATTATAACTGGGAAAAAAAACTTGTTTTCCTTTTCTGATATTTTATAGTCAGGATAAGTGAATTAAAAAAAAAAAAATTCAATAGCTCATAGATAGAATCAGATTTTTAGACCAAATTTTATTTTCAACAAACTTCAATGAATTTTTTTTTTTCTATTCAATTCTATTTATTCAAATGCTTTTCTCCCATTGTTAAAAATAAATGCTGCATCGTAAACAAAATTCTAACCTGACTTGTTTGCATTGTAAAAAAGAAAAAAAATATTGAAAAATTTTACAAGCTTATTTTGCTTTTAATTTTTTTAACCAATGTTAACACCAGCATAATGATTTTTAAACTAACAAGAACTACCTCCTTCCCCCATAGCTCTGTACAATGGAGATAAACTCAGTGGGGATGGGGGAAATGCTGAACCGAGGTCATGAGGTTTACAGATCAATCCCCTTGTACTTACTGAAATTGGTTAACCTCCATGATTAATTTATAAATCTCCATTGGTTCTATATCAGAGCATCCTGCTGTAATATATAACCTCCTCAGCTACAGTGTCCCTTCTCTTTACAAAATAATTAAAAAAATTTTTATAAATTTACCTTGCTGATATATAAGCAAGTCTTTACCCATTTCATCAATTTTCTTTTATCTCATCTTTCATTTTTTTTATAATCATATATTTTTCTTTCTTTCTCTGTTGGCAAGTCTCCCATAGATTTGATTGCTACTGTATTCTTTTTACCATTTTCTACATTAAGAGGTAAAGTCCATGGACCATTTTAGAAGAATCCTGAATCCCTGGCTACATTCTTACTTCCCTCCCACATTGGGTCATCGCAACTCAGCCTCTGTGCATGAAGCAGGCAAGGAGTTAGAACTTAGAGTTCAGATTTTTTTTTTTAAAAAAAGGCAAACAATATTGTCATATTGGGAAGAGAATTGATTATTTCATGTCCACAGCAAACAACTTATCTATTGTTTTATTAATAATTTGGACTGAGGAAAAAAATATGACAATGGCAAAATAAATTTCCATGTTTTCATCTTTTAGCCAGTGGAGCATGATGATGTCTTAAATGTATGGAAGCTCATTTCACCATGATTTTTTCCAGCTTTCTTGTATGGAAGCTCATTGTAACAATAAAGTGAGGGGAAAAAATTGCCAAAGAAAAAGTTGGTAAAGAAATTTTTGAAAATCCCCTTTTCCAAAAAAAAAAATAAAAAATGGATCCACTGAATGTATGTAAAGAAAAAATTATAAAATGGATACAAAATAAAATGAAACGTTAGATATATTTGTGCATTACATTTCATGACTGCACTTGGGACTTTGAAAGAAAAAGTTCGTGGAAGAAGAAAAAAGGGGAGAATAGAAAGAAACTGGCAAAATATTCCAATAAATTGCTTGGCACTTTCATTGGAATTATACACTTCAAAATGAAATGTGGCTGTAACCAATTTTCACACACACCCACCCACACACACAAAAAAAACTCAAAACTTTGATGCTAGTCAAAAATGAACTAAAAGTAAAGACAAAAGAGAAAAAAAAAATGAAAAAATATAAAGAAATGAGAGACAATAAAAAGTCAGAAAGAGTTTGCCTCATGAAAAACAAAAAAAAAATCTGAAAGAGACATTTATATTTAAAACTGCTGTAAACAAACAACCAAAAAAAAAATGTTGCCTGTAACGCCAAAAAAGGTAAAAGACAAAATAAAAAAATTCTTCAGAAAAAATAAGAAAAAAAGTAAAAAAAAAACTAAACAAAAAAACTATTTGTCTGTTCTGTGTAAAAAAAAAAATGAAAAAACAAAAAAAAAAAACAAACTTTGTCTATAAAACAGAATGAAATATCTGTGTTGTTGGAGTTTTTTTATTTTTTGC